AAAAAAAAGAAAAAAGAAAAATGCATACTAGGAAAATGAAGAATAACGAGAAAAACGCAAATTCCTTTTTCATGAAATAAAAGATAGGAATGAAAGAAGGAGGAAGCAGAAGGAAAATTATATCCATCACTTGAATAAAAAATACTCCAAATCATTCTTTCGTCTTACCGGTTCTTCATTTGCACCTTGTATTAGTATCACGTAAGATTAATTGCATAGAAGAATAAACAAGAAAGTAAGCAGCACAAACCTTTTCTGCTCTTGAACACCGAATGCACACAATACGAATCGTCATTGAAGCACAAGCCTGAAGATAGTATCAATGCTGTAATGCTGGTGGATAGTACATATAACACATTTGACAGGGACTTTGTATCTGCAACTGCTGATTCGCTTATACAAAGAATCACAAAACTCCTAAAAAAAAAAGGAATAGTATAATCAAATTCTCTATCAACATTTCCACTCTTATTTTCGAAGATAACAAAGAGGAAAACTTTCTTCCATCCCAAAAATTTATAGAATTGTTATGGTTTGAAAAAAACTCAGGAAGGAAGACTTCCATTGCATCAACAGAGCCAAGAAAGCATACAAAAATAATAAAAATGAAATACAGTCTGCAGTAAAGAGGAAATTGTACCCCAATGGAGAGAATAACTTGGAAAAGAAGCTTAAGTTTACATGTGAAAGTTTGACAGCAAATTTTGCCCATCAAAACTTTATCCAGTTATATCGCTCACATATTCGATTCAACACTTAGTTGTCATTCTGAGCAAAGATACCCCGACTTATTTTTCTAAAGCTAAATAACTAGGCTCTTTTTTATTGAAAACCTGATGAGAATGCCTAAAAAATATTCATCGTTTCGGAATATTTGCAGCTACTACGAAATAAAATAAAACATAGTTTGAACTGCTTATCGCTCCTTTCCGAAAAAAAAAAGATAGGAGATAATGAAAAAAAGATAACTGTTTGTTCCAGATAGTAATAAATAAGTGAACAACGAAATTTTTTGAGCACAAACAAATGAACAAGTTTTACGATTGCATGTTCATTTCATATTCTTTATGGAGGAAAGATAACCGATTACCGGAATGGGAACAAAAGGAAAATTCCTTACTAAAATAATGAGTCAAACTTCCCGCTAAAACATTAATGATGGTTATTTGATCTAGCCAATTTGTGAATCCTTTAACAAAAGACGATCACTGAAGCAAACGGGAAACCCAAGAAGAATGATTTCGAACACCCACTTAGGGGAATTTCTTATCGGAAAAAACCTTATGAAACTTACTTTTATCATATTTTCCGCTTTCCAATGAGCCATTCCTTTGCTGCAGTACAACAGAACGTTCAGACCCGTACGAGTCCGTTGTCGCCACAGCTTCAATAATATTCGTCTGACATGTTCCATATTTCTGAGTATTCATATCGGGTACTATAGGCACTGAGACCTAAATCATCTTTTGACTGTTTTTGATTTATAAATGCATATAAGCAGGTATGGCTTCGCAAGCAAATAGATTTTGACAAAAATAAGTTAACTGTAGAGAATAAACACTATCATATATGAAATCTCACCTAAGATTACAGCTTTGAATTTACAAAGATTTTAGAAAGGAAACTAAGGAGTTCCAAAAACAAACTTTCTTGGCCTGTCGTGGTATTTGCTGCACTACTACAGAAGCTGAACGTGGTCCCAAACGTGATGGCATTGCAATTACTGAAAACGAACAATACCATAAACTGTATTTCATTATCAGTAAAATATCGATAGGACTTCAAAATACATTTCCATGAATTCTTGTGCTATAGCAAGTATGACATAAGAAGAAGCAGAGTTCACTATCATATATCAATATATCCTGAATGTTGAATGCTGTCATATTTATGCAGATAGAAACACGGTGCCCATAAAAAGACTTACATTGTACAAGCAGATTTTATTGGACTTGAGAGCAGTAGCAGCAGCAGCAGCAACAACACCCTACTGCAAAAATTATGAGTTATTTTTCCAAAGTCACAAAAGATTTTTACTGAATTCAGTAGGCATTTTACTGTCTTCTTTGCCCCTCCTCTTTCAATTTTTTCTACGTCCGACCAATTTAATATCTGCTACAAAGCAAAAAGAAAATACGAATTGATTACGAATTTTTTAAAATAGGTTAGAAATTGTGACTGGTTATTGATCATCCATACACACAGTGGTTGATATGTGTTTGAAATGAGGCCAGGGAAATCGAAACCGAAAACTGTAAACCGACTTGAGTACTGCTTGAATGAAAACAGGTATAGCTTTAAAAGGATATGGTCACGTGGAGGAAGTCATGAAGTCAGTAGTTGCGAAAGTATTGAAGGAAACAACGTGCATAATTTTTCCAAGAAGCTGGAAATCCAAAATTACTTCATCCGCTTCAAGGTGCGAATTAATTCTCTTAAAGCTTTGCATGGCATAAGTTAATTTGCTTGTAAGCATGATGGAGCATATATGTATGAATGTATGCTAAGCCAACATGAAAAGACAGATCGTTTGAGAAAAACCAAAAATATCTCATAGCAAATAACCATTCAAAATGATAGGAATATTAGCAGCATTACTACCAGTCCCTTCGAGAAAGTTACATTTAGAAGATATCACTGGGGACAGATATATCACCACAACTGAATTTTAGCTCTGCCGTAAATACCAGTTGATCAAAAGAAATGTTAAATGTTAAATTCAAATCATACATGCTATTGTTGTCGTAAGTTATCACATGCTATTGCTACTTTATTACAAATGCAATGAAGGCTTTTGTTCCACAGCAGACAGAACTTGGTAAAGTAGTGTTTTAGAACTATCTTTTTGTGTTAGTATACATTGGACGGCTCGATGATGATATTAGGATGGACTTGGAGAGATAATCTTCATTCAAAGAGATACCTGCACAGCACCTTGAAAGAAATATTGTGGACACAGTAACTCTTACACCATGAAGCAAAGCCGAGATATTATCAGACAGTGTAGATGAAACGAAGAAACAAGATGCAATATTTAATCGAACGAATTCGAACGCTGCTGCTGCTACTAAAGATATCGCGCTGCTCACGAACGCTATTAAATCGCAAGGAAGCGTGTAACGAAAACTAATCTAAATGAAAAAAAAAAAAAACTAAATCAAAAAAAAGAAAGAAAACTAATCTACTACATATTATTACTGACAAATGAACAAAACTCATCCCCAGATAAATTAGAACTGTCCAGGAAACAGAAACACTGCTACTTTGCCACTTTCACTTGACGATATCATATAACACTACGCCTAAAGCACGTTCTCATAGTTGCTGCTTCAAATCGTCCTTGTCTTCTTCAGAGCTAGATAATAAAGTCTCGCATAAATCAAGGGACATGACTTCAAAAATCGCTTCAGCAAATCTAATACATTCCCACACCAAATGTATGAAATTGCAATCTAAAGAAAAAAGAAACGGTAATTCAAAAATAGCCGTTCCCACTGAATTGTTAATTAATAAAACAAACCTGTTAGTTATACAATTCCCTAACAAACTTATCTCGAATACCTTGTCTCAATGTTTAATAGCTAAGCGATGGTATCATATTGAGCAACGTAAATCTCAAAAACTATACTTATGCCTAGATGGACAAAGTCTTTACTGAGCCGACCTTACACGATTCGAACTTTTACTCATCTCCCCTTTGTCATAATTTTCGATTTCGACTTTCAGAGCCACATGCTGCTATATTTAGAATGAAAAAGCATAAGAATAGAGCAGTATTAAAAGTCGTTTTAGAAAAATTTCCATTAAAAAGATTTCATTCTTTAGTTTACTAACAATGCAAGATTTCCACCGCTTGATAAGCGCATACTACAGCAAAGATACCTTCCACTAAAGAATGTGTTATATAACTAAAGATAAGGAAGATTCTGCAATATAACATGTCGAAATTATGCCACTAAAGGATCATAAAAAAGAAAAAAAGATACTCATTCCTGTTGAAGTGCATTGCTGCCTTTTGCTTCCATGTGCAAATTAAACAAAACTTTACACTTACTAACAAATAGCAAACATTGTCAGCGAATGTGCTAAATATCAACTCCGACTTCTCATTCTTGATCACCACAAAAGTAGAACACCTGAGGAAAAATCAAGAACAGGAGAGTAGCTGAAAGTTGCTTATGAAAAGGATAACTATTGGATGGGTTGAAGTTTTCTCATCAATTTATTCTTGAAGTAGCTCAGTAACTCAGGAGCAACTCACAACTAATACCATGACTCTCTCTCAGGAATTGGTATCTGACAGTGGCCAGCCTGCAGTGCGCCAAAAGGCACTCCAATAATTTTCTGGATAGTCGGCTGATAACGAATTAAGTACAAACTGTGAAATATGCAATACAGTACAAAAGTTTAGATTTTGCGCGTATGCAAACTATCTAGTAAATACTACATTTCACCGGGAAGAATTATCCATGGCGGATATCGATCTTTCACAGATACACAACCTGAACAGAATTCCGCTGTCGACCTACATAACAGCTGAGGGTGGGAATAGGAAATCAATGAACTACTCTGTAACCGTCAACAAACTGTATCGAGTCTATATTACCAATCAATAGCAATACTAACAATAATAATAATAAATAATAATAATAATAAATAATAA